GATACCTAAACCACTGAGCTATCCAGCAATGACACTTCACTTCAGAAAATAAAATCAGAAATGGAAACTGTGGTAGAGTCTGTCCAAAGCAGATGACAGCCTATGACTTGTTTGCTGTGTTGGGATGCTCATTTTACCCAGAGACCTCTGCTGGAAGGCCAGAGGCAGATTTGCCTAAAGGATGTCAACTCTGCACTTGTTGATAAGAACAGCTGTGACTCAGAAATCACCTGAGAAATTGCAGAAATGCCAAGTGGCATAATCTCTAATAGGTTATGTAAATCTGTGTCAAAAGAAGATTATGCTGAGATTTCTAGGATTATATCCATTGTGCTTTGCATCGTATGCAAAATATAGCATGTTTAATGAATGACATATCAATAAGGCTTTGCGTACGCAAAGATGATGACAGAATCAGGTTATAGTGACCTGCAATGCTGATGATGTGCAGTTTCATACAGCAGGATGCTCTCAAAAGTGACATTTCTTCAGAACAGTCAGGTGCCAATGATACACTTGTTTATAACTCGTGTACTCACCTGGGGTGTAGGGACCTGGGGAGGTACAGAAGGGCACCTCCTCCCAAGATCCATGCATGCATGACTTACATCTCAGTGGCTGCATCAACTTTATGCCGTCAGTGCAGCTTTTAACCAAGTGACTTAGTTTGCAACAGAAAATGACTGCACGGACTTCCTAACCTGCAGAAATTCACTGGGGAAAGTTAAGTCGATGGCATTATGCTTGTGGAAATGTAAAGTATACCAAGGGAGTCTGGCCTATGTTAATGCATCACAGCGAGACAGCTCCAATGCAAATATATGCCACCATCAAACCAAACCAAACCATTAATTGTACTTTAAGGATCACATGGAAATAGCGAAAAGAATAGGTTGAGGTGTCTACTCACAATAGATGGTCAAAGATTACAGTGATAGTGTTGATTGAAATCCCCTACAGTGCAGGAGTGGGCAGGGAAGCTGGAATCTATTGGCAGATCTTGGTGGAATTTTTAGTAGCTGGGCAAGGATTGTGAATTCCACCCCCACTTTTTAAGTACTAGACACTCACACCAGTTCACCCATACTTACAGAAACTACACTGCGGAAACGAAGGGCATTTGGAATAACCAGAGGGGATATTTATATGAAAGGACTCTAAGGACACATGCAGTCTGGCCTATTTTGTATTTGTTTGTTCTTTGTCACAGATATGAACTTTGAGCTGAGCCGAAGGGTCATGGTGTGATTCCATGGAATTGTATAGCAGCAGCCATTTGTCACTTGCTCCACCGACCCAAGGGTTGCTCAAGGCCCACATGGGGTAGGGGGATCACCTCATCTCAGAATTTCAGAGTGAGGCATGCTCATCCACTCAAACCATGAATCCCTGTGCCAAACACATCAATACTTCCTGATGAGTACATGGCAAAATTATAGGCGTCATGTGTCATGGCCCCAGAACTACCTGAGTTTTCTTGTGTTAAACACGCTGAGCAGAAATCAGGATTGGGATCAAGTCAGGCCATGCACCATTGATTCTTCTTCTAGTTTGTTTAACCAAAGGAAATGTTGCTACCCCCAGCTTTAAGGCATGGACCTCAGACTTCTCCTCAGTCATATTCATCTTCCTTCAAACACTCATATGCTAAACAAGTCAGGAATGGATAGAAAGGGATTAGTTCTTCATGGAACTGCACTCCTTTAAGGTCTCTTCTGGACAGGTTATAAAAGCAGGTGCTCAAGTCCAGACTTGTGCTGGAGTAGCTTTTCTGTTGATTCACTTGCAGGACTGCTAGCCATGGTCCTGAATCAATGCCAATGGCTTGGGGGCCAGTACCTGCAGTATTGTCCAGGGTCCTGAATCATCTCAAGTCCAGATCCATACAAGTCACTCATCTTACCTTACCTTACCTTACCTTACCTTACGTCCTCTCACTTGATCTATTGTTTGGTTAATATGATGAAATATTTTCTGTAGCAGGACTTCATGACTATGTCTACTTAGAAGGAGCCATTGAAAAAAGAAAAACAGAAACATGAACATGAACATGAATGCATGACTGCTTAAAGAAAGGAAATAAAGGGTAACTAGCAACTAATCGTGATTTATTGACTAGTGATTAGTTAATAAAAATTATCTTCATTTTCTTTTGTAAAATAAGAGAATAGTAGAAGTCTGCAGGGAAACCATATATGTGCATAGCGGGAAGAGCAACACACAGATTTCCCATCACAGATGGAATTGTGTGACCACTGGGAGTCCATGAACTCTCAGGCCCAGGGATTGGGACTGATTCTCCTTCCCATTATTCAACAAGCAAGAAGCATGGCTTCAGGAGGGCTGGATCAAAGTGATTGCTGACTGTATAAGTATAGGGGACAAACTGAGAATCAGTGCAATTCACGCTTGCCCCCTCCCAAATATGACAAGTTCATCAGCAACTGAATTTGGCTTGGAATATATTTCACCTTTCTCTCCTGTGTTTAAAAGAAGAGGAGAAAACTGACAACTTAATATCTGAGTCAATATGATTCATGAGTGTGTTTTCTCATTTCCAAGGCAGGAATCTTGATTCTAAAATTTAAACATAAATCTGTCATAGCAATGAATGCTGAGGAAGTCTTGCCGCATTTAGCAACTGAACCCCTTCCTCAGCCTTAACTTCTGTTCCGTACCATCTGTCAAACAGTCATAAAGGTGTTCAAATGCACTAGAAGAACACACCAATTTGTTTTCAACAGAAACCCTCTCTACTCTTGCAGTAATGCACAGAGAAGGGGAAACTGGAAAGATGAATGGGTGCTTTCCTCAAGCTTTTCTATAATGTCTGAGATGTTGCACTGCTCTGTAGCTTTGTGGGAAATTAACATGTCACTCAGCTCTTGGCCCCGAACACATAACCTAGTAACCAGCAGTGGGCCCTGAGGTCTCAAAAACTGTCCAAGGGTGCCATCTGCTGACACCAGGTCTGGCTGTATAGTCTACATGTTAACCGGCCCTGCTGCTCTAAGTGTGTCTGGCTATTGTGCACATCAGAAAAAACGGTGACAGTGTGAAGTTCTTTTAATATAGCTCTCTTGGTTTTAATGTTGCTGCTGTGCCTTGACAATGCTGTGTCTATATTTTAAAAGGTAAGATATCTGAGAGCTATTCTGGTGTAGTAGATAGTGTGTCAGACTAAGACTCAGGAGACCTGGGTTCAGAGGTTTGCTCGGCCATGGCAATGGTAAACCATCCCTTGAATATCTCATCCAAGCTGAAAACTTTATAATTATGGTCACTGTGTGTTGCAAGTCACTTGGTGGCACATTGTGACAACACCTAGATTTCTGTTGATAAAGCTAAAGGCACCTACTTGCGCCTTGGACCAGCATAATGGCAATAGGTAGACAAGATATGTGTTCTGTCAAGGGAAATGGAAAAAAAAAATCTTAAACAGAGTCACATAGAAAATGAGAGCTGAGCCACCACACTACCAATAACCTGCCTTATTCAACTGCAGCGCGTCTAGCATAAGACCAATCTTTCCTGTCTGGAGGTAGCATAGTCCTACTCAGTAAGGCAGGTATTATGTCTGGGCATGGGCATGGAGCTGAATACCAGCAAGGATGATGGAGTGTTGGCAGAACCAGTAGCCCCACTGGCAAAGTTAAAAGCTCTGGGTATGTGATGGCAGGGTGGTTAAGGGGATTCCTCCAGACTCCTACTCTTCAACCAGCAGCTCAGGCCAGGTCTCAGAAGATGTCAGACAGAGCCCCCTAAATGTTTGCTTCACAAACTGCAGTCAGCCAAACTTGCTTACCAGAAGCATTTGTTGGAAGGCCCAGAAAGGTGCCTCTGAGCACTGGAAGGAATTTGAGATTCTAAGCCCAAGTGCACATTTTCCAAGGAAAGCAGCCGGATGACCAGAGTGGTAGAGACTGGGAGGGTGAGCACATAGAATTGCTCATTCTGGCACTGTTGGAACAAGTTTCTAGCTTGTGAACTGTCTGAACATAATGGGGAAAAACCTTAGCTAGTTTAAAAATACCAAATAGGCCTTTAAAAAAAAAATCTTAATCATGTTGAATGTGTCTTCCCATCACTTGCCAAATGGAAGATGTACTGCATCTTGGAAGTCTTCTTTGGCTTGGGCAAATTTCTAGGGCAAATTTCAGAACTTTCTGCAAGGGAAAACATTCAAAATTAAATAAACAGAAACAGAGTACATGTTGTAGTTCTGCTAAGAGCTTTAAAAAGTTACATTTTAGGATCATAACTCTCCAGATCTCTTTTAGCCAGAACTTCCCACCTTATCTCTCAAGTTGATGTAAATGTTACACTTCCATTGGGAAAGAAGTAAAGTTCTCCCTCTTACAGTCATGATGGCCAAAATCCAATTGAAGAAATAAGCTGGCACAAAACCTCTGAAACACATTTCAGTGGCAAATCATCTCTAGTTAAGAAGTTGGTATTTGTATTTGTTTCCATGTACCACATCAAGTGACTGGCATGCAATACCAAAACAAACACTAACTTCTTAATAAGTGGCAATTTACCATTGAGATTTATGCTAATGAACTTGTGCTGATGGGCATGAGTAACAAGATTTTGGACAATATAGCTTAGTTATGCCTTCCTTTGTGGAAATGGGAATCCATTTCAACTCACAACTTATTTGCAACTAATTGTTTCCAACCCCTGCATTCATCAGAGATAGCTAAGCTGAATATTCTTTTTCTCTCCCCATTTCTTTCTTCCTCACTGATTCAGGTCATTTTAGCTGTGCCAGAATTGATTTAGCCACACCTTGGTTGGCTGTGAATGAAAGCAGCCTAGAGCAAATAAAGTTCAAGGAAGGTTCTCAGGGCCATGTTACTGATCAGCTTACTATGTATAAAGAGCACAGGACGCAAAGCATGTTGGCAAAAATGCTCAGTTGTATGTTACTACTACAGTGCTGCACCAACCAATTCTCAAAGCCGATTCCTGATTAAACACCCCTGCAGGAAGCTGCTATGGACGCCTCAGTGCCTTTTGAGAATAGTGGGAAGTGTTGTAATGACACGGTTTCTTCCAGCAATATCCTCTACCAGATCCTTAACTGTAAAGAGCAGCGGAAGACACGGATGGTCCACCAGCATCTCCCTCTTCCCCCTTTGCTTCCAAAGATTTACTGCCCCTGTGAGGTGAACAGACGAGTCATCCTGAAAACTCCCAACATCACCTGCACCAGAGCCTCAGAGGTACTTCTGAAAACTATCATGTTTATAAGGAACCTGCCTTCTTTTTTCCAGTTGCCTCCAGAAGACCAGCTCCTACTGATGAAACATAGTTGGGTTCCTCTCTTTGTACTGGGCCTGGCTCAGGACCAAGTGGATTTTGAACTGGAAGAGCTCTCGGCTCCAAGCTTGTTAAAAATGATCCTTCTTAATCAATATGTCACAGATCACGTGAAAGTGGAGAGCTCTCCTTTGGGATCTTCATTTGTGGAAGTTCAGAAGATAAAGAATTTCTTGGGAAAAGTTTGGAAAGCAGACATTTCTGCAACAGAATATGCCTACCTCAAAGGAATTGTCCTTTTTCATCCTGGTAAGTCCTTTCAAAACACATGCAACAGCCACTAATGTTTACAAAGTTCTTTGTGTCTTGGGCCTTCTAAAATTAAAGGGACTTCCCTTTATAGCTCATGCTATTAGCACACTGGCATCCCAGTAGTTCAGAAGTTAATCATAGAAATACATTTGAAAGCTCTTTGGAAAAAAGAATACTCCTGTATCTTGCATTGGGTTCCAAATTTTCCCCCACTCAAAATCCACATTTGACTATTGCTGAATTATATACTACAGTCTGCTTCTTTTGCAGGGGTGGGGGTAGAATGGGTACTTTCGTATTTATATCTCTCTAAATACATGCACACATGATAAGCATGCAAGCATGTGCATTGTGTGTTATAAATCGAAAAAAAAATTGTGTCCATTTGTCTTGGCAACAGGCAGTTTAAATTTAAGTGTATTTTAATGAATTTGGAGCTTAGGGGATTTTTTTTAAAAAATTAGACCATAGCTTCCAGATTATGTTGGGAGCTTTTCTGAGTGCTGAAAAAAGTTCAGGGAGGAGAGACATTGAAAAATAGGCACCGTGGAAAGGAAACGTGATTTTACTGCTCCAAAATGGGAGCAGCATTTATTATGAACATCCAGAACAAGAGACTGTTTGAAAATAATATTGAAATTAAAATTAATGCCTCATAGTCATGAAACGTTCCCATATTCTCTATGGGATTTAGAGGACAACTTTACTTCCACTGGCTATGGAATGGAGGTTCACCTTAAAAGGAAGGTTTACCTCAGTGGTGAAGTGTTACCTTGATCCTGGATGCTATTTTATGGCTGGAAGTCTGGCTTTTATGAGGTTATTGAATCATCACAGGAGCAGCACAGAAGGAAGATTGGGGTGTGTCAAAGAGACAGCACAGGAAACCCTGATGTTCTTTATTGTGGAGGTGGCCTTGGTTAAATCATCACCTCATAGCTCGGCCTAGCCCAATGAGGTTTTCAGTGAGTAGGATGCAATAAAAGATGTACTGTGAGTGAATTGCACAGAGCTTGAGGAAGGACAGGGAAGAGATCTCAATTTATCAAAATAAATAACATTTAAATGTTAACAATTTCCTTTTTATTAAGAAATCTTCACTTGCCATAATCTTATACCAAAGGGGAAAAATGACAAAACAAAAATTCTCACCCTATTCCTTCATATTTTCCTCAGGAACCAACACAGCAGGGATAGGAAAAAAAGTGTTTGTCAGAAAAGTTTTCCTAAGTATATTTCTAAGTTAACAGACCCTAGTAGCCTGAAATACTGCCATCCCTTTCTTTCCTGTTTTGCAGATGTCAGGGATCTTAAATACCGCCATTATGTCCAGACTCTTCAGCAGGAAGCTCAGCATGCTCTGATGGAGTGCATCTCAATGATTTATAGCAGAAGCCTGAGGAGATACACTTGGATAATGGAGTTACTTGGATTTCTAAGGAGCTTCCATACAGATACTGTTCGGGAACTTTTCTTCACACCCCTCTTGGGGAATATCAGTTTAAGCAGCTTCCTTCTAGACATACTTTACAGTAAACAGTAGGGATATGAATCTCACAGCCTCTCATGTGGAGAGAAAAGGGGAAAATATTTTTCCATCTAAGGAACTCTGTAGGGTTTCTCAGACATTCTGGGGCCATTCCTTCTGGAAGGAAAGCCAGACTGCACAGAATTAGTATTACACTTCCTGCACTGAATTGCATCTTCTCTGTGCAGGATTCCTCCAGAAAAGGCAGAAAAAACAGTTTTCCACAATTATTACAATTTCTGTATATCTTTCATTTCTGGATTCACTGGAAAGACCATCAGCTTGTGCAGGGTTTCACAGATTTCTGTATAGAACAGCAGTCAAAGGTTAAAAGAAAAGAAAATGATAATAGTGTCTTGTTTTCAAGGGAAGCACAGAGAATTTGCTGGTGCAATAGGAAGTGTTGTCAAGGAGTCACAGTATGGCAAGACTTGGAAAATCTATGAGAATGAGAAAAGTTTCAAGTGCTTATCTTACCTCTATTAAACAGGGTTTGTCTACAAAATGTGAGGGGCCATCACAGATCATTTACTCTGATGAGACCATGGCTAATGAGAAAGGGTGTTTTTTTCTAGTTCAAAAAGAAATTTTTTAGTTTACTAGAACCCAACTCGATCCATAATATTGAGATAACAAAAAGAATAGCTGGAGTGATGGAAGAGTTGGAACTGGATTCTTGCAAATGACTGAAAATGGTCCTGAAGACCTTCCTTCAGAGATCTGGCACAATGTTACACCATTGCATACATCAACTTGAAATGCATTGAAGAGCTATAGAGTTACACATGCCCCTTTACTATGGTTGTGTATAGTTGTTTAGGAATGTACACATTTAAGGAAGTGGAGTCTGTACATTTTGGACAGATCCAGTGTAGGAGATTGTATCTTGGCTGCTAATTTGATCTTTCTGTGATGTCAGTTATAATCTTTGAAGCTGAAGTGAAGGACAGCTGGCCTGCAGCAGAATATCTCACACCTGAAGACGTGCAGTTACATCTCTGCACACTCTTTTATATATATTTCTTGGAATTCAGATTCTAGACTGTTGTCTTGAGGACTTGCACAGCCATCTCACAATTCCCAAATATTTACAAGCTTGGTGTTAAGTTATGGGTGAAGATTTATCAAAACCCCTGGTCAGTAGGACTGCATTTTCCATGTTTGTCAGTACAGTGGACCCTCGACTTACAGACGGCTCGACTTACAGACTTTTTGAGTTACAGACTTCTCTGGCCGCAAAATTTAGGTTCGACTTGCAGCCAGAGAATCGACCTACAGACCAGAAAAAAACCAAAATGGAACAAAAACGGTTGGTTATGGATTAATCGGTTTTCAATGCATTGTAGGTCAATGGAGCCTCGACCTACAGACTTTTCGACGTGCAGCCACCATTCCAATACGGATTAATTCCATAAGTAGAGGGTCCACTGTATAAGCTTAGATGTTCTTAATAAAGACTTCTATGTTGATGTTTTTATGTGACTTGTAGCTCTAATGAGTGCATTGCATGATAGTACGTTTTGAACACTGACATTTTAAAATAGATGCTTCTGCTGGTTTTGAATGAATTTAGTGCACTACATGTATTTCTGCACTTTAAACCCCATCATTAAACATTTTGTATCTTTCTTTTTCTACAAAGGCCTCAGAATATACATTTTCTAGCAGGACTGCATCATATTTGTACCTAAATACAAATCTGTAAGGTTGAAAGTTGCTGCATTGTGTCTGTTTTATTTCCATATGCTTACAATAGAGGGACAATGCACACAGGCCACCAGTTTTGATTCTCAGGAGAACTAGCTATATATTGTTAGAGTGCATGCTATGTAATATTTCTGGCATGTAAATATCTGTGCAATAAGGTATTGTGTACTACTACACGGTTTGTAAGGAGAAAATAAAGAAATAATTTAACTTCCTCTTTGTTCTGTTTCCGTTCCCAGCACTTATCAAATTATCTATGGACTGCATAAAATAACTGCAGCGCTGAGGTGAAATAGACATTAATCAACCAGAATAATGGTATAATCCTACATACATTTTCTTGGATATAAATTTCTTTTTTATAGGTGACTGCACAGTATTGCAGCCTGAATGAATAAAGAATTTCCAATCTGAAATGTATGTCCTTTTCAAATTGGCTCAGTACCTGACAGTATTGTTTCAGAAACCACAAAACAGCAACAAACCAGAACTAATGTAGGGGCATTCCCACAATGGTATCCTGAGGGTTGCTCTGGCCCATCTAACTAACTTTCACTTCCCAAGTGTTTGTGAGACTCAAGTAGGCCGTCTATGGCTTTGGCTGCAAACCTCTATTTATTTTTTATTTTTCTTTTCTTTTTGCCTGACAATTCTGTTGGTTCGTTCTTATATTTTTCAGTACACATTCTTAAAGCTTACTATGACTGAACGATTATTCTTTCATCTGCTGGCACAAACCTATATATCCAGAGAGAATCTGATTCATGTTGTTTTCTATATTCTATATTCATACTTAAACTGCTGTATGTAAACTCTCAAAAAGTCTTGAATCAGACATATGGTGCACACACAACGGATTTCTCTGTACACAGGAAAATGAACACAAGCGCTCCTTTTTAAAAAAAAATTATTGTTTTTTTATAACATACATACCTATAAGGAAAAAAAAAACAGAAATACCTACAAACCAACAACACATAAAACTAACAAAACATACAAGACTAACAACACATACAGGCGGGGAGGTATTTCCCATACCAGCTTATCTATTATATACATTCTGACTACAGAAATAACAAATCCATGTGCATCTGCACATGTTATATTCCACATCCCTATTTTGTGTATCTGATTAAGTATCTAACATCCTAATTTTATAATAAATTTTGTAAATTCCCTCATCTGCTTTTCCATCCATCTTACTCTCATCATAAACATTCCTCATTTCCTCTTTAAAATTACTTATCCACCATAATATCCACACGGGCCTATTCATTCCTTGATGATCTCCATTCTTATACATATACAGAAAATTATATATCTAATCTTGTCAGCATAATATAGTTCACACATATTTGGTATTTCCATATACATGCCTTAAAACAAAACATCCAATATTATTATTCAGCATCATTTCTAAAATTCATAAATCACATATTCTTGTCTAACCTTAAATTTCATGTCTGGCCAAATTTGCTTATAGTATTTCTATTATTTATTCAGCAAGTAACTTCCTCCTTTCTGATTTTATTTATCAGCTCCAGTGCCATCAAACCGGGATTGGCCTCTTTAATCTTGTCAACATTGTCACTATTATAATCACACATATTTAATGTCTCAATATACATGCCTCACAAAGTATTTTCCAGTTTTGAAATGCCATCTATAATATTTCTTTAAAACATTTTCTATACGGTTGATTAATTTCATCCCAATGTATTCAGTAGTTTGATTTTGGAGCAACATAGTGTGTGATCTCTGATCGTAAATTTCTGCCCTCAGCCTTGCCCATTTCTCCCCCTTTACATTCTTTCTTTTTGGAACAATCTTGAGATACATTCTCCCTTCCCTGCCCCCCCTTTCGTCTTTTTTAGTCATCCTTTGAAGAAAAGGAGTCTTTTTCTTCTCTCTCTCTGACTCTGGTTTCTCTTCAGATCATACAAATCCCTCGCCTCTTTCTGACGACGGTGGCTGTTTCTCTGACATTAAAGGCTGTTCATTAAGGATCTGGTTAAGTTGCTTGTCCTTGCTTTCGATCATTTCATGCAGAGCAGAAAAAGTCATTTTCAAGTCCATTCTTATCTCCTCAAATTGCATCTCCAAATAATTAATTATGTTAAATTGACATTCTTGAAGAAGTCCCTTGATATAATCCACAGTAAGTTGCGAAGATGATTCTCCCCCTCCTTCCATGGCTGTAGCAGTCAGTAGGTTAATTACTCAGATTTCCCACATGATTTATTAGCTGGACCGCACTTAAAGTCTTACGAGGGGCGCCTTGTAACCAGAAACAGAGTCCCTTAGGTTAAATTATGTAGAGTTATTTAGAATTCTTAAGTCCTGACTTTATAAATTTATGAGAAGCCAGTTTCTCTGGGGGTGAGGGTTAAGAGAGAAAAAGAGCGAGTTGGTTTCGTTTCTGAGCTGTGGCGTAGTAAAGAAAACTCCAATGTTACCGGCATCAACAAAGTTATGCTGCTTGAGATCTCCTTCTCATCAGCTTTCAAACAGCAGATTTGATCTTTTACTTGCTGTAGCTTAGCAGCAGATCGTTAATCTCTATTCTGCAGTCAGATAATAAATTTCCAAACCTCCCCTTGCCGACCACCTAACTCACCCTTATGGCGACTTTATGAGACAGATTGCGTATAGGAAGGAAACTCTTCCAAAAAACAGACTGCCATCTGAGATTCAGTGGTTCCAAAGCCCCCACTTGCCAACAAGTCCCACTCTCCTGTACAGTGGGGTCTTGACTTGAGAACTTAATCCGTATTGGAAGGCGGTTCTCAAGTCAAAAAGTTCTCAGGTCAAATCTGCATTTCCCATAGGAATGCATTGAAAACCATTTGATCCGTATCTGCTCTTTTCCGTCCATAGAAACTAATGGGAAGCTGCTATTCCGCCTTCGACCACTAGAGGGGGGTATTTTGTTTCTTTTTTTCTTAGGTCTAGAAAGGTTCAGGGAAGGCAGGGAAAATACAGTCCAGGCAGTACAGTACCAGGCAGTCCGAAGACTGTCTCCCAATCCACTCTCTAAACGCTGGGAGGAGTGAGGAAGCAGACAGGCACCCTTTTCACTGGCCAACAGTTAACTGAAAGTTCAAATTTTGCACTTTCCCTGCCTCCCACGTGGTTTTTTTTAGTTCTTAACTCAAATCTAAGTATGTAAGTCAAGTCAATATTTTCCTATGAGAGTGGTTCTTAAGTCAAAATGTTCTTAACTCAAGCCGTTCTTAAGTCAAGACCCCACTGTAGAAACTTGCCCCCCTTCTCCGGGGGGGGGTCCTCTGACTCAGAGTAAACCTAGG